GTTCATAGATGACATGATATTGGCATACTGGAAAAGGCAAAACTATGGAGGCAGTAAAAAGATCAGTGATTGCTAGGGGTTGGGGAAGGGAGGGATGAATAGGTGGGGTACAGAGAATTTGTAGGGCAGTGAAAATACTGTGATACTATAGTAGTGGATACATGTCATTGAAAGACATTTTCCATTGATACCCTTTTCCCGGTCAGAATCCAGTCTGGGATATTACACTGAAGAAAGTTATCATCTCTCCTAGTCTCCTACAATCTAGGGCACTTTCTCAGCCTTCTTTGTCTTTCATGACCTTGATGCTTTCAACGAGTATTGTCAGTTATTTTGTAGAATGTCCCTTAATTTGGGCTTATCTGATGTTTCCTCATGATTAAATTCAGATTATGATTTTTAGCAAGAACACTGCAGAAATGATGTTTGACTTCTCGGTGCAACACATCAGAAGGCCCACAATAACAATATCTCTCATTATAGGTGATGTCACGTTTGAACGCTGCTCAAGGCGGTATCTGCTAATGTAATTTTTCTAAAGTATACCTCCAATTATATGATCACCCTGATTAAAAATTGTCCTCCATTATCAACTGAAATAAACGAATGACGAGCCCAGTATTCAACATCAGCCAAATTTATTCTTCATTCCTCTTTTCCATGGCTCTCCTCTCTATGTACAGATCTTCCCATTTAGATCTTTAGCTCATCTTAGATCACTTAGATGCGATCTTCCATATTTTGAGTTCCTGCTCTCTTTTAAATCCCTTGAGTACTTTGTATCTCTCTGTGGCACTTATTTAACTCTGCTTTGCTTTGTTAAATGAGTTTTATTCCTCCCACTCTCCTCATTACATGTCAAAATTTTTTAAATCAGAAATTATACCTTGCTCATTTTTGTATCCCTGTTAGCATAAAGTATATGAGTACATGTTAGGTACTCAAAAGTAATAAAAAAAATGCTGAATTGAATGGAGTTCATTAATCAACTTTTTTTATTATTATCTTGCTTCCTAAAGAAACATACCCCATAATTCCTACAGCAACATCTGAGGTAGTTGGCTAAAATAACAGCATCTGTACTGTTTGCACTAAAATGGTGTAAAATTTTTGGTAATTGCTAAATCCTAAAATCTACCTCATTGATGTCACACATGCTCTAGTATGCTTATCTCTTCATTAAAAGTGCATCTTATTCAACATCATTTCCAGATCAATTCTGGCTGTACTTGTTCTAAGTGATTTATTTGCATAAATTGGTTGTTAGTCTTATTAGTGGTTATTCAGCTTGTTAGTGTCCAGGGTATGGTCACTCCATTCATGGAATAAGTATAAGTAAAACTGTCTCCACATTGTCAGCACAATGTAAGTAGAGACAAACAGTGTGAGTCACCATCACACAGGAATGCGTCATGGGCCAAATAACCTTACACAAAAGAAACAGTATACAGTAAAACTGGATTGAGATGAAAATTCCATTAACCCCATCACCTCTTTTCCTACTATGCTTTGTAGAAAGACTTTGGATCTCTGGAACTCCCAATGCAGAAAGGCAATAGGATGGAACTTATACCCTGCATTGTTTAAATAGCCTACACTGCAAGGGAGAAATGTCTAAAGGGGTATTTAAGTTCGGTATAAAATTCTAGCAACCACAATTTTAGTTGTATACCAACTGCAAAATATTTCTCTCATTGTCTAAATAAAAGAAGGCTATAATACACACTGTCTGCTTGCTTCAAGACTCAGTTATTAAGCTTTAAGACTCTTTTCTAGGATAAAGCCTTTTTCTCTAGCAAATGGATCTTGAGACTGAGACTTTAATCTAAAATCCTAACTCCTGTCATGGACCACGTCGAAACTGCAATCCCTGTCATAGAAACATCCTGAACGATATTTCAGACACAGGAATTTCAGAGTTTTTCTTTTTTTTTTTTAATTGGCAGCTAAAAAATAGTAATTTTAGTAGTCACAAAAGTGAAAAGCTACCTTCTTCTCCAACACACAAACACACATGCAAAAAAAAGAAGAAAAAAAGCACAATTTGCAACTGATCACTCAGCAGCATGTCATTGCAAATGCAAGCAAAGACTGGGTTGCTGTTTCCATAGCAATGACTTTATGTGGTTTAACTCTGCTGGGAATTTAACCAAATCCCCAGCAGCAGGAGAAAAATCATCAGCAAAAATTTTCTAACATATGGCAGGCAAGTTCAAACCAGTGAGGGAAAAATAGTTTTATTTTCTCTTCCTTTCTACCCCAAGGAATACCTTCCTGTCAAGCTGTTTGAAGTCGCATGCAGATTTTGTTGGTCACTCGACATCTAACTCAAATTTTTAAATACCTGGTTTCTTCCTCCTTAGATTAAAAGAGCTGTTGGCACTCAGTCAGGCTCTGCAGCACATGCATTCCCAGAATGACATTGAAACACAAACAAGAATGGCATGCATCTTCCCATGACTATCAGGTTATTCGTCCTAAAGGAAAACTCAATCTGCAGAGTTCTCTCTTGAGAAAGAATGCAAATGGAATTTCATTCTCTATTTTGCTTTTGAAGCCACCCTCACCCTGGGGTTTGTGTGGTGTGTGTGTGTGTGTGTGTGTGTGTGCCTGCATGAAACTTTTCAGTTCTACCAATGGCCCAACAATTGAAGTAAGAGTTTTTAGCAAGAAAAGAATAGATATGATCCTTTTTATTCTTTTCTTTAGTTCTATCAGTCTTTTATCTGGAAGGGTCTTCTAAGTATCAAGTTAGAGGCCATTTAGTTCAAGAGACTTAAAGGCCCTCTTCAGTATATCTTCACAAGAGCAGAAGTTGTGATCAAGTTGCAATATGTACTGAATACCCAATGAAAACGGCTGTCTCAGAATGAGTAAGCACCGCCAGCAAGGAACACATGACTTTCCAAGGAGCCTATTCAGTTTTGAACAGTTCTCAACATTAAAAAGAAGCTTCTTATGCTGAACCTAAAATGACCTCCTTTTCACTTGCACAATTGGCCTCAAAATTTGCATCAGTTTTGTACTTCCAAGGAGGTACAAATTAAGCCAAACACTCTCCATGTGACGGCATCTCCCAAAGCTGAGGCCATCTTGAGTTCACTGCTCTCTATTCCACACAGTCCAATAGGGAACCCCCGCCCCCATTCCTCAATGACACTGTCTCCACTCTCCTCCCTACGCCACCTCAGTCACCTCTACAAGTAGGTTATTTTGACAATGACTTCATTTCCTACACTTTTTCTAATGTAAAGCAGATCACTGGGTATCAAACAGAAATGGCATCAGAGGCCAGGCAGGTAAATTAACTATGTGAAGCATCTTCAGGAAAGGCCGCAGGGAGTGGTGGTAACTGTGGGGACTTGGGGAATTAGTTCCCAGCCTGAGTGTTCAAATAAATGCTGTGAACACACACACACACACACACACACACACACACACATAGCCCTGGGTCTGCACTGTAATCCTTGTTCTAAATTACTCTGATACCAAATACTAAATTAATAGAGTACATCTGAAAAATTTGAGAACTTAAAGAATCTTTAGGCTAGGGACGAGGGGAGAGAAGTTGCCTATGTCAGCAGGCTACCTGGCGAGGTATCATGGGAATTTAGCCAGTCAACTTTCGCTCAGTAGTACACTGAAAAAGTACAAACAGAAGTCACCATTCTTCCATTTTTCAGTATCCTATATCAGGTAAGCTTGTTTTATGGCAGAATGAATAAGGCACAGACCATCAGAAAAGACTCCTCATGGCTGAAAACTAACAATTAAAAGAAGTTAGTCTGAATAAAGGAGAAGGACCAATTATCATGGAGTATTTAAGAAAGTTCACACATTTCATTTCTACACTCCAGTGACTCTTTCCTTTGCTAAGACTTAAAATGTTTTGTTTTGTTTTTTTCAAATGCACGAACTGTGCTCTCCTTTGGTTTTAAAGTTTTATTGCTGTCCTCCAAAGTGCATGCAGACTGTCTTGCTGTTAACCACATGGGCTGCTCAGGAGCTGACGACCTGGGGCCCAGACCTCGTCTGTGGTTGTGGCCCAGGGAAGGTGGCTGCTCTGCGTTCGGAACCATGGAGGTGATGTCATCTATGCAATGTTGATCTAATCACCACAAGCTCCAGAGTATAGGGCACAGGCCCCCCTCCAAACAAACAAACAAAAAAAGAAAACAAAAGAAAACAAACAAAAACCCTCAAGCTTCCCCTCAGATTGGTGGGGAAGTATCATTATTTTATGAACACGTGTCTCATCGTTGCAAGCATTTGGTTGGTGACACTTATCACTAGGTATTGAATGGCCTTGATGCTGGAGTTTTCTACATGCAAATTTCATTACAGAAGTGGCCCCTGGACGTGGCCCCACTTGGCTGTTTAATTATTGCATCACTCATGACTTTAAACATTCTTTTTACAATTAACGTGAGCGGTCCACACCCAGACACAAACATTCATTCTCTAAAGAAGAGTAAACGATTTCTTGGTTTACCTCTGTCCGTCATCTTTGATCCCGGCGGCTTGTCTGGGACAGTGAGAGGGTCTAGGTTGCTACTCAATGAAGAAGTGTCATCACTGGATATAGAGTTCAAAAATCCACTTTCTGATGTGGCCAGGCTGTCTTCCAGGGCCCAGCGGCTGTTTGCCTCTGAAGGCGCAGGGGAGTGGACCTGCACAGCACACGTCACAGACTGTCCCTCACCACCAGCAGCGGACGAACTGTTAACCATGTCGATCCAGGACTGTCTTCCTCTAGACAAGGAGGAAGACAGACTTCTGGGTGTCTTTCTTGTGTTCTCCACGGAAGAGGAAGAACGGGCTGCTTCACTCGATTTGGGCGAAGATGAAGATGCCCGCTGTGCAGCCTATTTTTCACCAATAAAAACAAAAAGAGAAGACAGACCATGATTAAGTCAGCAGCCTCTACTTCGCATTTTCAATGAAAGTATCCTAGCATTTTAATTCAAAAGGTGGCAAATAATAAAAGAGTCAAAAGAAAAATATATGATATTTCTATCTGTATGACAGGCTTTAGGATGCCATTTTCCAAAGCCAATTCGTGTAACTTTAAATTTATTGTTATAGGATTTTTTTTAAAAATCTTCATATCATGATTTACCTTACTCCTCACTGCTCTCTAGATACTTGAAAGACCTCTCTGGGGAATTCTTTGGATCAATGAAGGACACTCGGAGCAAGAAGTAGATTGCAATCTATCACTAAATTCTCACTGATTGAGCAAAACTCTTGAGAAAGGCGATTAGGAGAAAGAAAGCAAAAGTTGGAGCCAGATGAGAGGCAAAATAATATTAACTGAGTGGAGACCAGTGATGTGGGCCAAGCGCATACATTTAAACCCTCAAATATCCTTCATGCATTCCTTAGCATGTGACTAACATAGCTCATAACTACACAGTTAAGTGAAATCATCCTAATTCATTCACTCTTCAATAATTTTTAAATATCAATAAACTTTCACTGAAGAAGACAGGAATACATTTTAGGCCTCCAACTCATTAGAGAGAAACCCTAACCTGCACCATAGACTGTGAGAAGTGGGTCAAGGATGCAAGAGCTCCCGAAAGCATTTCCTGACGTACGGCCCAAGGGGAAAGGACAGCCCTTGGCAAAATTCTCACCAGTCTGCGGGGGAGAACGTCAGCGCAACATCATCAGCATCCCTTTCCTGGGAAGGACTTCACTTATTCTGAGATTCTATCCTTGTTACAGATTGCTGTTAATATATAGGCCTTCTTTTAGAAAATGGTATTGGTAGAAATTATCTTTTGTCTTCAGGGAGTTTTTTTTAATGCCCTGCCGAGCCATATAAAGATGTGGCAACTCTACATTGTTCCTCCGTTTTTAATGTTCTCAGTCAATAAAATCCAAAAATCTAGACACCAGTGCTCTATGGATCACCCTATATCTCCAATGGCAGACAAGACAGAGAAGGCATTTTCTGGTCTCATTTTGTCATCCTGTGGGACACTCTTGTCAATTTCAAGCATTCAGGACGCCAAGGAAGTGGCAGGGAGGAAACTGTGAGATGGAAGAAGCCAAAGAACAAACTAGGATCCTCTCCCAAAGACCTCAGAATCATTGCATCTAACTTAGGGTGGGTGGCTTTGTTCCATATTAATTGTGCCCCAAAATGCTGCATATTCTAAGCTCTTGAGTTCTGTTGGGAAAAGCCAACATTTACCCAATACGTGCCCAGCTGGCTGTATACTAGACATGGATTGTCAAATAAGCAATAAATCCACTTTTTAGTAGCATGACACTAAAACATCTAGTTAAGATACTAACTCATCACACACATTCTTCTTAATAATAATATATTTGGCACAGACATGAAAACTTTCCTTTCGGAAAAGCTTTCAAACCAGTTGCCTTCAATCACCCAGACCACTGAACTAGGAGATCAAAGAGCTGTAATTCACTAAACACAGCCTAGTTATCCAGAGGCGGTAACGCCCCCCACCCGGCACAATGTCCAAAAGGATGCTAACACTTGTTCACTCACTAACAGGAGCTACAAAATAAATGTTAGCAAAAACACCCATTCAGGCCCAGTCCTGCCCTATTCCCCTATTGTGAGCTGCTTTAGTAAAACTTGGCTTCAGTGGGATCAGCTTCCTTTTCTGAAAAGAGACCAAGCACACGCTTTTCCTGTTGTTCTTGCTGATACTCCTGTAATTTGATTAAAACAAAATGGGCTACTGAGCCCACCATGGCTGCAGGCACTTTCCATAAGCCTTTCTGAGCCCCAAAACTCTACTCAAAGGACTAAGGACAGACATATTGAATGAGCATTAGAAATTCCCGGGAAGTGCAGTCCTGCTTGCGGTACTACTCAAACACAGTGCAAATGCTTTCAGTCCATTTTCTCTCACACCATGTAACATTTATAAATTTGATTTTTAAACAGAGAAAAGAAGAGTGAGGGGGAAAGGCAAAAGTGAAAGAAGTAGAGAGAAGGGGAAAAATGAGAAAAAGATGATGTGTATCAGGTCAGAGGGAATTTTGATTAAAAGAGAGATTGACACAAATCAAAGTGAACCTGGAGTGCCACTGCAGAGCACCGATATGGGAACGTGCTTTTTAGGCACTGTGGTGCTAAATCCTGGCTCATTACTCCTAACATTCTATAGCCAACAACAGCCAAAAATCAGACAGAGAACTTTTAGCTCAGTGCCTTCCACGAACCACCCAAATAATACACCCATAAAACCCCCCACTGCAAATCAAATGAAGGTAGCAAGGAGGGACAGACTCTCCTCTCCACCCCACCACTGCTTGGCTACCAGAAGCCCACCCTTCAAACGTCAGTTCAAGGGCCAGCTCCTCCAGGAAGCTTTCTCTGGTGGCCTTGGGGTGAGGTAGGTCCCCTTGCCTGGTGCTCCTGGACTGACTTCTAACATGCCAGGTGGAAGATCATTTTATTTGTCAACTAATACTGTAATTGCTGATTGATTTGTTCCTCTTTTTTGGTGAGCTACTTGAGAAGAGGCTGTTTTTAATCATTTTTGTATCTCCACTTTTTGCATTTGTGCCTGACATTAATACATTTTTTATATAATTTTATTGAAGTATAGTCAGTTTATAATGTTGTGTCAATCTCTGGTGTACAGCACAATGCTTCAGTCATATAGGAACATACATATATTCCTTTTCATATTCTCTTTCACCATAAGTTATGACAAGATATTGACTATAGTTCCCTGTGCTATGCAGTATAATTTGTTTATCTATTTTTTACATATTAGTTATCTGCAAATCTTGAACTCTCAATTTATCCCTTTCCATCCTCCCCTGACATTAATAAATTAATAAATTTAATGTAGTTGCTAATAAACAAAGAGTGGCCTAGAGAGCCAATGGTGTGAAGAAAAAAAAGCAATTCAGGCTTTTCCTGAAATTCTCTGTGAAGCTGCTGAGGATGATTTACTGTAATCCCAGGATCTAGAGGTGACTGTAACTGATTGCAATGCACATAGTCCCACAAAATGCTCTCCTAATTGCAAGCAAAATTATTATTCTCTTTATCAAAGATTAATAATTGTATGTTATTTCATTTATTTCAGAATTTTTCAGTTTTAAATATTTTATTTTTAATGAGAAAATTTAAGACTTTTTTAAATCTTAGTTTTAATGAAGAGACTATGAATATGATTAAATTTAAAAATCAATATTGCTTTCCCCCCATTTTCTGTATAAGACATTTTTATTCATTGAAGAAGCTTAGTTCACATGCTGATTAGCTGTTAAAATCCTTTTCTTTGAATTGTTTTAAAAACGAAAGTTTGACATGGGAAAAATAGTTTAAAATGGCCACGAAAAATCTGTAATTAGGAGGGAGTGAGTCAGCATATAAATCTCATGCAACATTAGTCAAAGTAGATGAAAAAAATCAAAAGAAAATACAAGCATAACTTAAGCCTAAACGTAATAAAAACAAATACGAGAAAAAGGAAAGTATACAGCTTTTCTCTCCTCCTATTGGCCACATTAATAAAAACAAGCCAGTCAGTTGCTGTCAAGCCCTAGGAGGTACTGTGTTTATGTTTCTACCGTATGCTAGCAGAAACGCTGCTCTGAAAACCCTAGGACCTTGCATGGTATACTGTCCCCTCTGTCACTGACCTTCTGCATGACCTTGGGCAACACAGAAGATGCCCTCCTCACTCCAGTCTTTAGTATCCAAGTGGCCCTGTAGAAGCCACTTTACTTCCAAGTCCTAGTTTACTGACTTCCTGCCTCCACCATCACCCACCCCCTTCCCACCCCAGTGCATCCTCCAAACAGCAGCTAGAGTATTACTAAGACAGAAAGCCACCACAACACCCCCTGCTGAAAACCGTCTGGTAACTGCCCATGATGAGTAGAACATGGTCTTCATTATAGCTGAGTCTTACATGGACCCCCATCTGCCCCTCCAGCACCATCTCCTTCCACCTCCCTCTCCCTCTCCTTTCCAGCCACATGGTTTTTCTGTCCTTGAGCACATCTCTGGTTCTTCTGCCTGAAAGGCTCACTCTGTGGATTTTTGGTTGGCTGCCTCCTTCCCATTATTTTGGCCTCAAGTTATACATCACTTTCCCAACAGTTGTAGACAAAGCAATATGCTTCCCGCACCCGTCAATCCCCGCCTCTCCCGAGCACACTGCCCCATTCTTTCTTCTTCATAGTATTTCTCAGTATTTGAGACTCCTTGTTTAAATTACAAAGTTATTGTGACTCTCCATCAACTCAGAACTTAAGATGCTGCAGGGAAGAGACTGTCTATCCCAGTTCAGCATCCCTTTCTCTGCAACAGTACCTGGCACGTAGTTGATGCACAAAGAAATCTGTCAGTGGCCTGCCTGCCCGACTCGGATTATCAAGAGGCGCGAATGAGATAACACAGAAGAATGTTCTTCAGAAAAGGTTAACTCAAGCTTGCAAAGGTTACTTATGATTATTCTAGGTACTTCTCGGGCACTTGACTTCCTCATTTATAAAACACAGGACTTTTGTGAGAGTCAAAAGAAGTCATCCTTCTCAAAGCCAAGTGAAATAACCAGACAAGTACACAGCAGTACTTTCTAATTCATACGTGGAAATATCTGGCGAGCAACAAATCCGTGGAGGGAATGAAGTTGTAATCATCACCCACTCGCCTCCTTATCAGTCCATGAAATAAATAGTCAATGTTTCAAATATGCATTAGACAGTCATACACGTTGTGGGTAAAGAAAGATGTTGGACACTGCCTCTGACTTTAAGAATTTAATAATTAACTAAAGCAAGCAGATACACAAAATCTATAATGCAAAGCAGAGACGAATAACAGGAAAAAAGTGTCCCCAAAAATATGTGCTATAGG